AAAATAGAAACTGCAGATTAAAAAGAATCATGATACTTTTATTATCTTTTTTCATAATTTTAATGAATGTTGAATAAAAAGATATCACTTTCACATAGGCATTTATCTGAAGTTCAGAAATTCTCCCACTTTAGTTTCTTCAGCTTCTGTTGTATCAAGCAAAATGAAAGTTATATATATTTGAACTAAAACACATATAAAATATGTAAAGTTGATTGTGTTTTTTTAGAGTGTCACTCTGTTGCCAGGCTGGAGTGTAGTGGCGTGATCTCGGCTCAATCTAACCTACGCCTCCCAGGTTCAAGCGATTCTCCTGCCTCACCCTCCCAAGAAGATGGGATTACAGGCACCCATCACCATGCTCAGCTAATTTTTGTATTTTTAGTAGAGACAGTGTTTAACTATGTTGGCCAGGATTATCTCTAACTCCGGACCTCATTATCTGCCCGCTTTGGCCTCCCAAAGTGCTGGGATTACAGGCCTGAGCCACCACACCAGGCAGTTATTTTTAATGCATTAATATATCAACTTACCTAACTACCTATTTGCAAAAAAAGGGGTATAAATTATCAACTTTTTTTTTTTTTCCGAGACAGAGTCTGTCTCTGTTGCCCAGGCCGGAGTGGAATGGTGTAATCTTGACTCACTGCAACCTCTGCCTCCAAGGCTCAAGTGATCCTTGTGCCTCAGCCAGGCATGCGCTATCAGGCCTGGCGATATCACTTAATGTTGAGTTATTTCTTGCTGGCTGAAAATTTCATGATTTATTACTGGCTTCTTTGTACTTTTCTTTTTTCTCTCTTTCTTCTCTCTCTCTCTCCCCCTCCCTCTCTCTGAGAGGGTCTCACTCTGTTACCCAGGCTGCAGTCTCAAACTCCTGGGTTCTAGTGATCCACCTGCCTCACCCTCCCGAATAGCTGGGACTACAGGTGCATATTACCATAACTGGGTTTTAATTTTTTATAGAGATGAGATCTTGCTATGTTCCTCATGCTGGTCTCATACTCCTGGCCTTGAGCAATCCTTCTACCCTGCCTTTCAAAAGTGCTGGGATGACAGGTGTAAGGTATAGCACCCGGCCTGCTTTGTACTTTTCTATAAGACTTAGATTTTATATAATAACTACAAACAATTTTTACAAAAGCAGTAGGCATTCTAAACTTTTTAAAATTAAGCAGTGATTAAGAATGAGCTACAGAAAGTAGTATTAATTCAGCACCTATTATATACTAGATATTTTGCATGTAGCAAATCACGTAGTCCACGTATCAAGGCAGGAATTATAATCTTTATTTTCCTGGAGGCAAAACTGTGGATTACAAGCCTTTGTTCATTCTAGAGTTACACAGCTGCTGCCAAAACAAGTGCCCTCTTCCCAGAAGCCTGCTCCCTGCTGGTTTTATCAAATTCTACCCCCCACTTCCTCAGCCACATCTGTGAGTAAGAATTTTCACACACACACATTTCTGCTATATTCCATCTGCCTAGGCCAGGAGCTTGTCATGACAAACCAAATGCAATACCTATTTAATGACCAAACCTGTTATTCAGTATCTCTGTGATTTGAGAAATGGTTTGATTTCATTCTGACAAGGATCACAATGAGGTCTTAAAATAAGTTAGAATTACAAATCATCCTAGTCTATGTGAAAGGGTGTGATTTTCAGATATACCCAGCCCTTTGAGATGCTCTGCTGGAAGGTGGTTGAGGTACAAAGTACTATTGACTCACGGTCATCTTGGTCCATTGTCATTAATAACGATAGTTTGTACTTCTTTCGTGTTTGTGCTAAAGGTGGTTTCAAAACCAGGAAGAAGCTTATCAATTTCTAGGTATTCAAATATCTATTTCACATTGTATATGTGCGTGTGTGTATGCTATGAAAATATATACACACATATATTCACATATGAATACATACACACACATATTTATATATTTACATTATACTAAAAAAAAGTAATTTTTTTTTTTTTTTTGAGATGGAGTCTCACTCTGTCACCCAGGCTGTAGTGCAGTGGCATGATCTCAGCTCGCTGCCACCTCCTCCTCCCAGACTCAAGCAATTCTCCTGCCTCACCCTCTGGAGTAGCTGGGATAATAGGTACCTGCCACCACACCTGGCTAACTTTTGGTAAAGATGGGGTTTCACTACCTTGGACAGGCTTGTCTTGAACTCCTGACTTTGTAATCCACACACCTCATCCTAAGGTGCTGGGATTATAGGCGTGAGTCACTGTGCTGGCATAAAGTAAATTCTTAATGATCCATGAAAAGAAAATGGTAGGCCAGATGTGGTGGCTCCCACTTGTAATCCCAGCACTGCAAGAGGCTGAGAGGGGAGGATCGCTTGAGTCCAGGAGTTTGAAACCAGCCTGGGAAACATGGTGAGACCCCCTCTCTACAAGAAATATAAAAATTACCTGGCTATGGCAGCTCGAACCTGGGATCCCAGCTACTCAGCTGGCTGGAGAGGGGGAGGATCACTTAAGCCAAGAAAGAAGAGGTTGTGGTGAGCCAGGATTATACCACTACACTCCATCCTGAAGGAAAAGTGATACTTTGCCTCAAGGAAAGGGAAAAAATTGGTATCCATGAAAAATTTAAACTGTCTATATCTACATAAATCTATATAGAAATAGTATATTAATCAAAAAGCAAACTCTTAATAGTTCATGACAAACAAATAGCAAGCCAGGTATGGTAGTTTATGCTTGTAATCTCAGCACTTTGGGAGGCTCAGGCAAAAGGATTGCTGGTGTCCAAAAGTCTGGGAACAGCCTAAGCAACATTCTGAGAACCAACCTCTCAGAAAAAGTCAGAAATTAGCCAGGCATGGTGGCATGTGCCTGTAGTATCAGCTACTCAAGATGCTGAGTTGGGAGAATTACTTCAGGCCAAAAGGCCAAGGCTGCAGTGAGCCATGATCACATGACTCCACTCCAGCCTGGGTGACAGAGCAAGACCCTAAAAAAAACATAACTGTAACAACATAAATACAGAAGACATGAAGTGAGAAGCTACCATGTCTAGAGTGAAGAAAAAGGGCCCAAGCAGAGGCCCATTCCGATTACCACCGAAAAAGAAAAGAAAAATGATGAGACACTAAATAAAACAAAAATCAGTATGAAACCACGCAGGTAGGATTTATTATAAATTTGTCACAAATCCATTGTCAATGTTAAAAGAAGAGGCAGGTGTTTTGCTAAAGCACTCTGCTGTAAAGTTACCAACAAATAGGAGTCCAGGGAAGCTTTAGGCTCCTTGATACTCTTGACCACAAAGATTAAAAAGATGGATCCAGAAGACGTAACTGTGGGGCAAGAGGAAAGGGAGAAAAGGCCACGAAGAGGCAGAGGATGGGCTTGACTGTTCACTATAATGCTGAAAGTAGGCCAGAAGAGGCCATTGTGAGACAGGAGCTAGTATAACACACAACACAATAAGACAGGAGCTGGGACTTGGGACGCAGGCACGAGGAAAGAGATGGGCAACATGAAAAAAGCAAAATGCAGCATCTGGGCCTAGAAACACCAATGTGAGGCAGCTAAGGCAGCCTGGAGAAGAAATAGTAAGACAAAAGCTGGGACAGCTCATGCTGCCCCAAAGAAGGTACTGAAATTGGAGAGCTGGACTTGAGAAACATCTCGGTCTAAATGGCCACGAGGAGCTGGACAGGAGTTGAGTCCAAACAGACTGTCGTGAGGAAAAACTTTAGCAGCAGCCAACACTGGGAGAAAGATCTGGCCAAAAAGAGGACGATAAGATGCAGCAACTGGGTCTGGAGAGGCCGGCTTAAAAAACGTCTGGGCTTGGAGAGGCCATCAAAAGGCACAGGCTGGGCCTGGAAAGGCCGTTCCCCGTGACGAATGAGCCGGGCCTAACGAGGCCACTGGGAGGCAGCTGGGGAGGCCGTGGAGAGGCCGGGGCTGGGCCCGCGGAGACCGACTGGGCGATGAGTTGGGCCCGCAGGGGCCGCTGGGAGGCAGGAGCGAGCCCTGGAGAGGCCGAGACTCGAGGCCAGCGTGGGCCTGCAGAGGCCGCCGAGCTGGGCCTGGAGAGGCCGGCCCGAGGAAGCCTGGCAGCTGGGGAGGCCGCGGAGAGGCAGGAGCTGGGCCGGCGGAGGCCGACTGGGCGACGGGTTTGGCCTGGAGAGGCCGCCGAAAGGCACAGGCTGGGCCTGGAAAGGCCGTTCCCCGTGACGAATGAGCCGCCGCCGGGAGGCAGGAGCTGGGCCTGGAGAGGCCGAGACTCGAGGCCAGCGTGGGCCTGCAGAGGCCGCCGGCAGGAGGAGGTGAGCGGGGCTGGGCCTCAAGAGGCCAGTGGCAGGCAGGCGAGAGCTGGGCCTGGAGAGTCCGCTGGGAGGCAGAGGCTGGGCCTGTACAGGCCTTCGGGAGGCCGGAGACTGAGCCTGGCGAGGCCGACTGGAGGTCAAGTCCTGGGCCTGAGGAGCCCGCCCAGAGGCGTGAGCTCAAGAGGCCAGTGGCAGGCAGGAGGAGCTGGGCCTGGAGCGGCTGACCTGAGGAAGTCTGGCAGCAGGGGAGGCCCCGGAGAGGCAGCAGCTGGGCCGGCGGAGGCCGACTAGGCGACGAGTTGGGCCCAGAGGGGCCGCCGGGAGCAGGAGCGAGCCCTGGAGAGGCCGAGACTCGAGGCCAGCGTGGGCCTGCAGAGGCCGCCGGCAGGAGGAGCTGGGCCTGGAGAGGGAGACGCCGTCGGAGGGCAGGAGCCGGGCCTGGAGAGGCCACAGTGGGGCCGGGCTTCAGGACGTTTGGGGCCTCCAAAGGCCGCGGAGCGGGAGCTGGGTCGGAGCTGAGTCCAAAGAGGTTGTCGTGAGACCGGGGCTGGGCCCGCGGCCGCAGCCGGGAGCAGGAGGACCTGGGCCTGGACGGGAGGCCGGGAGGCCACAACTGGGCCTGGAGGGGCCCGCCTGAGGAAGTTTGGGGCCTGGAGAGGCCGCCGAAAGGCACAGGCTGGGCCTGGAAAGGCCGTTCCCCGTGACGAATGAGCCGGGCCTAATGAGGCAACTGGGAGGCAGGAGCGGGGCCCGGCGGAGCTGCCGAAAGGCAGGAGGAGCTCTGGCCTGGGGAGGCCGCAGTCAGGCCAGAGCTGGGCGTGGAGAGTCCACTGGGAGGCAGAGGCTGGGCCTGTGCAGGCCTTCGGGTGGCAGGAGGCTGGGCCTGGCGAGGCCGACTGGAGGTCAAGTCCTGGGCCTGAGGAGGTCGCCCAGAGGGGAGAGCGGGGCTGGGCATCAAGAGGCCAGTGGCAGGCAGCAGGAGTTGGGCCTGGAGAGGCTGACCTGAGGAAGTCGGGCAGCTGGGGAGGCCGCGGAGAGGCAGGTAATGGGCCGGCGGAGGCTGAGTGTGCGAAGAGTTTGGCCCGCAGGAGCCGCCGGGAGCAGGAGCGAGCCCTGGAGAGGCCGAGACTCGAGCCCAGCGTGGGCCTGCAGAGGCCGCCGGCAGGAGGAGCTGGGCCTGGAGAGGCTGGTTGGAGGAAGTCTGGGGAGAGGAGACGCCGTCGGAGGGCAGGAGCCGTGCCCGGAGAGGCCACCGTGAGGCCCGTCTTCAGGACATTTGGGGCCTACAAAGGCCGCGGAACCGGAGCTGCGCCGGAGCCGAGCCCAAAGAGGTTTTCGTGAGGCCGGGGCTGGGCCCACGATCGCAGCCGGGAGCAGGAGGAGCTGGACCTAGACGGAAGGCCGGGAGGCCGCAACTGGGCCTGGAGGGACCGACCTGAGGACCTCTGGCCTGGGGAGGCCGCAGTAAGGGGAGAGCTGGGCGTGGAGAGTCCGCTGGGAGGCAGAGGCTGGGCCTGTGCAGGCCTTCGGGAGGCAAGAGGGTGGTCCTGGCGAGGCCGAGTGGAAGACAAGTCCTGGACCTGAGGAGGCCGTCCAGAGGCGTGAGCGGGGCAGGGACTCAAGAGGCCAGTGGCAGGCAGTAGGAATTGGGCCTGGAAAGGCTGACCTGAGGAAGTCTGGCAGCTGGGGAGGCCGCGGAGAGGCAGGAGGCTCGGCCGGCGGAGGCCGACTGGGCGACGAGTTGGGCCTGGGGAGGCCCCGGAGAGGCAGCAGCTGGGCCGGCGGAGGCCGACTGGGCGACGAGTTGGGCCCAGAGGGGCTGCCGGGAGCAGGAGCGAGCCCTGGAGAGGTCGAGACTCGAGGCCAGCGTGGGCCTGCAGAGGCCGCCGGCAGGAGGAGCTGGGCCTGCAGAGACTGGCTAGAGGAAGTCTGGGGTGTGGAGACGCCGTCGGAGGGCAGGAGCCTGGCCAGGAGAGGCCACCGTGGGGCGCGGCTTCAGGACGTTTGGGGCCTACAAATTCAACGGAGCGAGAGCTGGGCCAGAGCCGACTCTAAAGAGGTTGTCGTGAGGCCGCGGCTGGGCCCGCGGCCGCAGCCGGTAGCAGGAGGAGCTGGGCCTGGAGGAGAGGCCGGGAGGCCGCAACTGGGCCAGGACGGGAGGCCGGGAGGCCGCAACTGGGCCTGGAGGGGCCGGCCTGAGGAAGTTCGGGGCCTGGAGAGATCGCCAAGAGGCACAGGCTGGGCCTGGAAAGACCGTTCCCCGTGACTAATGAGCCGGGCCTAAGGAGGCCACTGGGAGGCAGGTGCGGGGCCCGGCGGAGCTGCCGAAAGGCAGGAGGAGCTCTGGCCTGGGGAGGCCGCAGTCAGGCCAGAGCTGGGCGTGGAGAGTCCGCTGGGAGGCAGAGACTGGGCCTGTGCAGGCCTTCGGGAGGCAGGAGGCTGGACCTGGCGAGGCCGACTGGAGGTCAAGTCCTGAGCCTGAGGAGGCCGCCCAGAGGTGTCAGCGGGGCTGGGCCCGAAGAGGCCAGTGGCAGGCAGGAGGTGCTAGGGCTGGAGAGGGTGACCTGAGGAAGTCTGGCAGCTAAGGAGGCCACGGAGAGGCCGGTGCTGCACCGGCGGAGGCCGACTGGGCGACGAGTTGGGCCCGTAGGGGACGCCGGGAGCAGGAGCGAGCCCTGGAGAGGCCGAGACTCCAGACCAGCGTGGGCCTCCAGAGGTCGCCGGCAGGAGGAGCTGGGCCTGGAGAGGCTGGCTGGAGGAAGTCTGGGGCATGGAGACGCCGTCGGAGGGCAGGAACCGGGCCCGGAAAGGCCACCGTGGGGCCCGGCTTCAGGACGTTTGGGGCCTACAAAGGCCGCGGAACGGGAGCTGGGCCGGAGCCGAGCCCAAAGAGGTTGTCGTGAGGCCGGGGCTGGGCCCGCGATCGCAGCCGGGAGCAGCAGGAGCTGGTCCTAGACGGAGGGCCGGGAGGCCGCAACTGGGCCTGGAGGGACCGACCTGAGGAAGTTGGGGGCCTGGAGAGGCCGCCGAAAGGCACAGGCTGGGCCTGGAAAGGCCGTTCCCCGTGACGAATGAGCCGGGCCTAACGAGGCCACTGGGAGGCAGGAGCGGGGCCCGGCAGAGCTGCCGAAAGTCAGGAGGAGCTCTGGCCTGGGGAGGCCGCAGTCAGGAGAGAGCTGGGCGTGGAGAGTCCGCTGGGAGGCAGACGATGGGCCTGTGCAGGCCTTCGGGAGGCAGGAGGCTTGATCTGGCGAGGCCGACTGGAGGTCAAGTCCTGGGCCTGAGGAGGCCGCCCAGAGGAGAGCGGGGCTGGGCCTCAAGAGGCCAGTGGCAGGCAGGAGGAGTTGGGCCTGGAGAGGCTGACCTGAGGAAGTCTGGCAGCTGGGGAGGCCGCGGAGAGGCAGGTAATGGGCCGGCGGAGGCTGACTGTGCGAAGAGTTCGGCCCGCAGGAGCCGCCGGGAGCAGGAGCGAGCCCTGGAGAGGCCGAGACTCGAGCCCAGCGTGGGCCTGCAGAGGCCGCCGGCAGGAGGAGCTGGGCCTGGAGAGGCTGGTTGGAGGAAGTCTGGGGAGAAGAGACGCCGTCGGAGGGCAGGAGCCGTGCCCGGAGAGGCCACCGTGAGGCCCGTCTTCAGGACGTTTGGGGCCTACAAAGGCCGCGGAACGGGAGCTGGGCCGGAGCCGAGCCCAAAGAGGTTGTCGTGAGGCCGGGGCTGGGCCCGCGATCGCAGCCGGGAGCAGCAGGAGCTGGTCCTAGACGGAGGGCCGGGAGGCCGCAACTGGGCCTGGAGGGGCCGGCCCGAGGAAGTTCGGGGCATGGAGAGACCGCCGAAAGGCACAGGCTGGGCTTGGAAAGGCCGTTCCCCGTGACGAATGAGCCGGCCCCAACGAGGCCACTGGGAGGAAGGAGCGGGGCCTGGCGGAGCTCCCGAAAGGCAGGAGGAGCTCTGGCCTGGGGAGGCTGCAGTCAGGCAAGAGCTGGGCGTGGAGAGTCCGCTGGGAGGCAGAGGCTGGGCCTGTGCAGGCCTTCGGGGGGCAGTAGGCTGGGCCTGGTGAGGCCGACTGGAGGTCAAGTCCTGGGCCTGAGGAGGCTGCCCAGAGGTGTCAGCGGGGCTGCCGAAAGGCAGGAGGAGCTCTGGCCTGGGGAGGCCGCAGTCAGGCGAGAGCTGGGCGTGGAGAGTCCGCTGGGAGGCAGAGGCTGGGCCTGTGCAGGCCTTCAGGAGGCAGGAGGCTGGGACTGGCGAGGCCGACTGGAGGTCAAGTCCTGGGCCTGAGGAGGCCGCCCAGAGGCGTGAGCGGGTCTGGGCCTCAAGAGGCCAGTGGCAGGCAGGAGGATCTGGGCCTGGGGAGGCTGACCTGAGAAAGTCTGGCAGCTGGGGAGGCCGCGGAGAGGCAGGAGCTGGGCCGGCGGGGGCCGACTGGGCGACGAGTTGGGCCCGCAGGGGCCGCCGGGAGCAGGAGCGAGCCCTGGAGAGGCCGAGACTCGAGGCCAGCGTGGGCCTGTAGAGGCCGCCGGCAGGAGGAGCTGGGCTTGGTGAAGCTGGCTGGAGGAAATCTGTGGCGTGGAGACGCTGTCAGAGGGCAGGAGTCGGGCCCGGAGAGTCCACCGTGGGGCCCGGCTTCAGGACGTTTGGGGCCTACAAAGGCCGCGGAGCGGGAGCTGGGCCGGAGCCGAGTCCAAAGAGGTTGTCGTGAAGCCGGGGCTGGGTCCGCGGCCGCAGCCGGGAGCAGGAGGAGCTGGTCCTGGACGGGAGGCCGGGAGGCCGCAACTGGGCCTGGACGGGAGGCCGGGAGGCCGCAACTGGGCCTGGAGGGGCCGGCCTGAGGAAGTTCGGGGCCTGGAGAGGCCGCCGAAAGGCACAGGCTGGGCCTGGAAAGGCCGTTCCCCGTGACGAATGAGCCAGGCCTAACGAGGCCACTGGGAGGCAGGATCGGGGCCCGGCGGAGCTGCCGAAAGGCAGGAGGAGCTCTGGTCTGGGGAGGCCGCAGTCAGGCGAGAGCTGGGCGTGGAGAGTCCGCTGGGAGGCAGAGGCTGGGCCTGTGCAGGCCTTCGGGAGGCAGGATGCTGGACCTGGCGAGGCCGACTGGAGGTCAATTCCTGGGCCTGAGGAGCCCGCCGAGAGGCGTGAGCAGGCCTGGGCCTCAAGAGGCCAGTGGCAGGCAGGAGGAGCTGGGCCTGGAGAGGCTGACCTGAGGTAGTCTGGCAGCTGGGGAGGCCGCGGAGGGGCAGGAGGTGGGCCGGCGGAGGCCGACTGGGCGAAGAGTTGGGCCCGCAGGGGCCGACGGAGCAGGAGCGAGCCCTGGAGGGGCCGAGACTCGAGGCCAGCGTGGGCCTGCAGAGGTCGCCGGCAGGAGGAGCTGGGCCTGGAGAGGCTGGCTGGAGGAAGTCTGGGGCGTGGAGACGCCGTCGGAGGGCAGGAGCCGGGCCCGGAGAGGCCACCGTGGGGCCCGGCTTCTGGGCCTGCGCAGGCCTTCGGGAGGCAGGAGCGAGCCCTGGAGAGGCCGACTCGAGGTCAAGTCCTGGGCCTGAGGAGGCCGCCCAGAGGCGTGCCCTGGAGAGGCCGCCGAAAGGCACAGGCTGGGAGGCCGCGGAGAGGCAGGAGCTGGGCCTGTGCAGGCCGACTGGGCGAAGAGTTGGGCCCGCAGGGGCCGCCGGGAGCAGGAGCGAGCCCTGGAGAGGGACGGATGAGCCGGGCCTAACGAGGCCGACTGGGAGGCAGGAGGCTGGGCCTGGCGGAGCTGCCGAAAGGCAGGAGGAGCTGAATGAGCCGGGCCTAACGAGGCCAGTGGCAGGCAGGAGTGACGAATGAGCCGGGCCTAACGAGGCCACTGGGAGGCAGGAGCGGGGCCCGGCGGAGCTGCCGAAAGGCAGGAGGAGCTCTGGCCTGGAGAGGCCGCAGTGGGCCCGGAGAGGCCACCGGGAGCAGGAGCGAGCCCTGGAGAGGCTGACCTGAGGAAGCCTGGGGCCTGGAGACGCCGTCGGAGCGCAGCCGGGAGGCAGGCAGGAGGCTGGGCCTGGACGGGAGGCCGGGAGGCCGCAACTGGGCCTGGAGGGGCCGGCCTGAGGAAGTTTGGGGCCTGGAAAGGCCGCCGAAAGGCACAGGCTGGGCGGAGCTGCCGAAAGGCAGGAGGAGCTCTGGCCTGGGGGGAGGCCGCAGTGAAAGGCACAGGCTGCTGGGCCTGGAAAGGCCGTTCCCCGTGACGAATGAGCCGGGCCAGGCCGCGGAGCGGGAGCTGGGCCGGAGCCGAGTCCAAAGAGGCTGTCGTGAGGCCGGGGCTGGGCCCGCGGCCGCAGCCGGGAGCAGGAGGAGCTGGGTGGGGCGTGGAGACGCCGTCGGAGGGCAGGAGCCGGGCCCGGAGAGGCCACGCTGGGAGGCAGAGGCTGGGCCTGTGCAGGCCTTCGGGAGGCAGGAGGCTGGGCCTGGCGAGGCCGACTGGAGGTCAGTGAGGCGAGAGCTGGGCGTGGAGAGTCCGTTGGGAGATAGAGGCTGGGCCTGTGCAGGCCTTCGGGAGGCAGGAGGCTGGGCCTGGCGAGGCCGACTGGAGGTCAAGTCCTAGGCCTGAGAAGGCCGCCCAGAGGCATGAGCGGGGCTGGGCCTCAAGAGGCCAGTGGCAGGCAGGAGGAATTGGGCCTGGAGAGGCTGACCTGAGGAAGGGCCTGGAGAGGCCGCCGAAAGGCACAGAAGAGGAGCTGGGCCTCCAAAGGCCATTTACCGAGGCTGGCTGGAGGAAGTCTGGGGCGTGGAGACGCCGTCGGAGGGGGGAGGCCGGGGCTGGGCCTGTGAGCCCTGGAGAGGCCGAGACTCGAGGCCAGCGTGGGCCCGCAGGGGCCGCCGGGAGCAGGAGCCGGGCCCTGGAGAGGCCGAGACTCGAGGCCAGCGTGGGCCTGCAGGGGCCTGGACGGGCCGGCCTGAGGAAGTCCTGGGTCTGAGGAGGCCGCCGAAAGGCACAGGCTGGGCCTGGAAAGGCCGTTGCCCGTGACGGATGAGCCGGAGGCAGGAGGAGCTGGGCCTGGCGAGGCCGACCTGAGGAAGTCTGGCAGCTGGGGAGGCCGCGGAGAGGCAGGAGGCTGGGCCCGGCGGAGGCCGACTGGGCGACGGGTTGGGCCCGAAGGGGCCGCCGGGAGGCAGGAGCGAGCCCTGGAGAGGCCGAGACTCGAGGCCAGCGTGGGCCGGCAGAGGCCGCTGGGAGGCAGGAGGCTGGGCCTGGAGAGGCTGGGCCTGCGCAGGCCTTCGCGGGGCCTGGAGAGGCCGCCGAAAGGCACAGGCTGGGCCTCAAGAGGCCGCCGGCTCTCAAGAGGCCAGTGGCAGGCAGGAGGAGCTGGGCCTGGAGATGCTGACCTGAGGAAGTCTGGCAGCTGGGGAGGCCGCGGAGAGGCAGGAGGCTGGGCCGGCGGAGGCCGACTGGGCGACGGGTTGGGCCCGCAGGGGCCACTGGGAGGCAGGAGCGAGCCCTGGGGAGGCCGAGACTCGAGGCCAGCGTGGGCCTGCAGGGGAGGCAGAGGCTGGGCCTGCGCAGGCCTTCGGGAGGCAGGAGGCTGGGCCTGGCGAGGCCGACTGGAGGTCAAGTCCTGGGCCTGAGGAGCCCGCCCAGAAGCGTGAGCGGGCCTGGGCCTCAAGAGGCCAGTGGTAGGCAGGAGGAGCTGGGCCTGGAGAGGCTGACCTGAGGAAGTCTGGCAGCTGGGGAGGCCTTGGAGATGCAGGAGCTGGGCCGGGGGGGGCCGACTGGGCGACGAGTTGGGCCCGCAGGGGCCGCCGGGAGCAGGAGCGAGCCCTGGAGAGGCCGAGACTCGAGGCCAGCGTGGGCCTGCTGGGAGGCAGAGGCTGGGCCTGTGCAGGCCTTCGGGAGGCAGGAGGCTGGGCCTGGCGAGGCCGACTGGAGGTCAATTCCTGGGCCTGAGGAGGCCGCCCAGAGGCGTGAGCGGGGCTGGGCCTCAAAAGGACAGTGGCAGGCAGGAGGAGCTGGGCCTGGAGAGGCTGACCTGAGGAAGTCTGGCAGCTGGGCAGGCCGCGGAGATGCAGGAGCTGGGCCGGCGGAGGCCGACTGGACGACGAGTTGGGCCCGCAGGGGCCACCGGGAGCAGGAGCGAGCCCTGGACGGGAGGCCAGAAGGCCAGAAGGCCGCAACTGGGCCTGGAGGGGCCGGCCCGAGGAAGTTCGGGGCCTGGAGAGGCCGCCGCGGAGCTGCCGAAAGGCAGGAGGAGCTCTGGTCTGGGGAGGCCGCAGTCAGCCCCGTGACGAATGAGCCGGGCCTAACGAGGCCACTGGGAGGCAGAAGGGGCCTGCGCAGGCCTTCGTGAGGCAGGAGGCTGGGCCTGGCGAGGCCGACTGGAGGAGGCCAGTGGCAGGCAGGAGGAGCTGGGCCTGGAGAGGCTGACCTGAGGAAGCCTGGCAGCTGGGGAGGCCGCGGAAGTTCGGGGCCTGGAGAGGCCGCGGAGAGGCACAGGCTGGGCCTGGAAAGGCACGGGAGGCCGGGAGGCCGCAACTGGGCCTGGAGGGGCCGGCCTGAGGAAGTTCGGGGCCTGGAGAGGCCGCCGAAAGGCACAGGCTGGGCCTCCAAAGGCCGTTCCCCGTGACGAATGACCCGGGCCTAACGAGGCAACTGGGAGACAGGAGTGGGGCGCGGCGGAGCTCCCGAAAGGCAGGAGGACCTCTGGTCTGGGGAGGCCGCAGTCAGGCGAGAGCTGGGCGTGGAGAGTCCGTTGGGAGACAGAAGCTGGGCCTGTGCAGGCCTTCGGGAGGCAGGAGGCTGAGCCTGGCGAGGCCAACTGGAGGTCAAGTCCTGGGCCTGAGGAGGCCGCCCAGAGGCGTGAGCGGGGCTGGGCCTCAAGAGGCCAGTGGCAGGCAGGAGGAGCTGGGCCTGGAGAGGCTGACCTGAGGAAGCCTGGCAGCTGGGGAGGCCGCGGAGAGGCAGGAGCTGGGCCGGCGGAGGCCGACTGGGCGACGGTTGGGCCCGCAGGGGCCGCCGGGAGCAGGAGCGAGCCCTGGAGAGGCCGAGACTCGAGGCCAGCGTGGGCCTGCAGAGGCCGCCGGCAGGAGGAGCTGGGCCTGGAGAGGCTGGCTGGAGGAAGTCTGGGGCGTGGAGACGCCGTCGGAGGGCAGGAGCCGGGCCCAGAGAGGCCACCGTGGGGCCCGGCTTCAGGACGTTTGGGGCCTCCAAAGGCCGCGGAGCGGGAGCTGGGCTGGAGCCGCGTCCAGAGAGGTTGTCGTGAGGCTGGGGCTGGACCTGCGGCCGCAGGCGGGAACAGGAGGAGGTGGTCCGGGAGGGGAGGCCGGGAGGCCGCAACTGGGCCTGAAGGGGCCGGCCTGAGGAAGTTCGGGGCCTGGAGAGGCCACCAAAAGGCAAAGGCTGAGCCTGGAAAGGCCGTTCCCCGTGACGAATGAGCCGGGCCTAATGAGGCCACTGGGAGGCAGGAGTGGGGCCCGGTGCAGCTGCCGAAAGGCAGGCGGAGCTCTGGCCTGGGGAGGCCGCAGTCAGGCGAGAGCTGGGCGTGGAGAGTCTGCTGGGAGGCAGAGGCTGGACCTGTGCAGGCCTTCCGGAGGCAGGAGGCTGGGCCTGGTGAGGCCGACTGGAGGTCAAGTCCTGGGCCTGAGGAGGCCTCCCAGAGGCGTGAGCGGGGCTGGGCCTCAAGAGGCCAGTGGCAGGCAGGAGGAGCTGGGCCTGGAGAGGCTGACCTGAGGAAGTCTGGCAGCTGGAGAGGCCACGGAGAGGCAGAAGGTGGGCCGGCGCAGGCTGACTGAGGGACGAGTTGGGCCCGCAGAGGCCACCGGGAGCCGGAGCGAACCCTGGAGAGTCCGACTCGAAGACAGCGTGGGCCTGCAGATGCCGCCGGGAGGAAGAGCTGGGCCTGGAGAGGCTGACTGGAGGAAGTCTGGAGCATGGAAACGCCGTCGGAGGAAAGGAGCGGTGCCTGCAGAGGTCTCCGTGGGGCCCGACTTCAGGACGTTTGGGGCCTACAAAGGACGCGGAGCGGGAACTGGGCCGGAGCCGAGTCCAAAGAGGTTGTTGTGAGGTCGGAGCTGGGCCTGTGACCGCAGCCGGGAGCAGGAGGAGCTGGGCCCTGACAGAAGGCCGGGAGGCCGCAACTGGGCCTGGAGAGGCCGGCCTGAGGAAGTTTGGGGCCTGGAGAGGCCGCCAGAAGGCCAAGAGTGGGCCTGGAAAGGCCATTCCCCGAGAGGAATGAGCAGGGTGTAAAGCGGCCACCAGGAGGCAGGAGTGGTGCCTGTCGAAACTGCCGAAAGTCAGGAGCACCTCTGGACTGCGGAGGCCAAAAGAGCTTGATTGGAGACAGTATCTGGCCTAAAGACGCTGGCAGGGTATGTGCAGGAGCTGAGACAAAAGTTATGTTTTGAGAGGCAGGAGTTGGGCCTGTATATGCAGCCGGGGGAAGACCTTGGCCTGTCGAGGTTGCCATGAGACAGTCTGGGCCTGCAAAGGTCGTCAGGAGGCAGTAGCTAGACCTGGACGATCCAACTTCAGGATAGTTTCGGCCTGCAGAGTCCCCCATGTGGGTGGAATTTGGCCTGGTGAGCTTGTGTTGAGGAAGTTTTGGGCCTACATAGGCCGTCAGGAGCTTGGCAAGAGGGATGTCCACAGAGGTTGTTGTCTGGTTGGAATTGAGCGTATAAACACAGCCGGGAAGAAGACCTGGGCCAGGAGAGAACACCATGTGGCAGCAAATGGGTCTGAAGAGTCCGATTTGAGGACGTTCTGGGCCTTGGGAAGCCATCAACAGGGAAAAACTGGGCCTGTAAAATCCATTATGTAGAATGAGCTGGTCCTGAAGAGGCCACTGGGAGGCAGGAGTAGGGCCTGGAGAGGCTAACTTCAGGCAGTTGTGCACCTGGGAGAGTCTACTTAGAGGCAAGAGCCGGGCCTAGAGAGGCTGACGTGAGGTCAATTTTAGCCTGCAGAAGCCACCAGAAGACAGGAGTTGGTCCTGGAGAGGCCAAATTGAGGACAATTTGGCTGCTGGGAGGAAGAGCTGGGCCTGGAAAGACCGACTGGAGTAATTTAAGGGCATGGAGACGATGCACAAAAGCAAACGCTTGGCCTGGAAAGTCTGCTGTGAGGCATTAGCTTGACCTACACAGCACTGGGAGGCAGGACCTGGGCCTGCAGAGGCTGACTTCAGGACGATTTGGGACTACAGAGGCCTTTGGGAGGAAGATCTTGGCCTGGACAGGCTGAATGGAGGAAGTTTTGGGCCTGGAGTATGCGTCAAAAAGCAAAAGTTAAGCTAGGAAAGGCCACCGGGAGATGTGAGCTTGGCCTACAGAGGCCATTGTGAGGCAGGAGCTTCACCTGAGGAGGCCATGATCAGGTAGGCCTGGAAGGGCCACTGTGTGGTAGAGTTTGGGCCTCTGTAGGCTGACCTCGTGAGGTAGGAGCTGGGTTGGGAGAGGGCAACTTTTAGAGAACTGGGGCCTGCAGAGGCTGCCAGGAGGCAAGAGCTATCCCTGGAGAGTCCACCTTTTGGCATGAGCTGGGCCTAAAGGGGCCATTGTGAGGCATCAGCTGGACTTGTCAAGACTGCTGGGAGACAGGCAGATTTGTGGCCTGAGGAGGCTGCCGTGAGGCAAATGCTGTTTTCAGAGGATTCCGTGAGGCAGGGAGAAACTTGGCTTTTTGTAGCTGCCATGAGGGAATAGTTTGATTGCTGAGGCTGCCGGGAGGCCGAAGGTGGGCCTGGAAAGCTTTACTTTAAGAAGTCTCTGGCCTACAGAGGCTGCCAGCAGCTTGGCAGGAGTTGAGCCAAAGGAAGTTGTTTTGAGGCAGGAAATGGGCCTGTAGATGCAGCCGGGAGAATGAGCTCGTCCCAGAGATGACAAGTTCAGGATATTCTGGGCCTGGACAGGCTGCAAAAAGCAAAATCTGTGCCTGGAAAAGTCGCCATGGGGCATAAGCTTGGCCTAAAGAGGCCATTGCAAGGCAGGAGATGGCCTTGTAGAAGCTGCCAAAGGGCAGGATCTTCACCTGAGGATGCCACAGTAAGACATGATCTGGGTCTGCAGGGTCCACTGTGAGGCAGAGGCTGGCCTGTAGAGTCCGACAGTAGACAGAAGGTGGGCCTAAAAAGGCTGATTTGAGGAAGTTTTGGGCTTCAAGAGTCAGTCAGAAGGCAGGCACTGGGCCTGGATAGGGCCTGACAGTCAGGTGTTGGGCCTAAACAGGCCAGTGTGAGGGAGGAGCTGTGCCTGTTGAGAAACTTAGCCTGGGGCAGCTGCCACGAGGCAAGAGCTGGGCCTGGAGAGGCTGCCAAGATGCAGGAGCTGAGCCTGGAGAAGCCAGTGTGAGGCAAGAGACCAGCCTATAGAGGCTGACTTGAGGAAGATTTTGGTCTGGAGAGACTGTCGGGGGCAGGAGCTGGGCCTTTCGAGCCTGCTGGGAGGCAGGCAGGAACTTGGCCAAGGACGGACCCCGTTAAGCAAGAGCTGAGCCTGGAGAGGCCATGGTCACGCAGGAGCTGGACCTACTTAAGCTGCTGGGAGGCAGGTTGTGCTAGAGAACCTGATGTGAGAAAGCTTTGGGCCTATAAAGACTGCCAGGAGCTGGGCAAGAGCTGAGCTGAAAGAGGTTGTTATGACGTAGGAGACGGGCCTGGAGATGCAGCCAGGAGGAAGAGCTGAGCCTGGAGAGGCCCACTTGAGGAAGTTCTGGGCCTGGAGATGCTGCCAACAGGCAAAAGCTGAGCCAGAATGGCCGCTGTGAGGCATGAGCTTGCTCTAGAGAGGTCATTGAGAGGCAGGAGCTGGGCCTGTAGAGGCTGCTGAAAGGCAGGAGCTTGGCCTAGGTGGCCAGGAAAGTCTCCTGCGAGGCAGAGGTTGAGCCTATGGAGGCTGACGGGAGGCAGGAGTTGGGCCTGGAATGGCAGACCTGAGAAAGTTCTTGGTCTAGAGAAGCTGCCAGGATGCAGGAGCTGGGCCTGGAGAGGCCTGGAGAGGCCACCAAGGCATGAGTCCTGCCTAAAGAGGCCAATGTTGGGCAGGAGCTGTGACTGGAGAGGCTGACTTGAGGAAGTTTTAGGCACGGACAGCCTGTCGGGGGGCAGGACTTGGGCCTGGACAGGCCACAGTGAGGCATGAGCTGGGCCTAACGAGGTTAGTGTGAGGCAGGATCTGGGCCCATCGAGCTGGCCGGGAGGCAGGTAGGAGCTTGTTTGGGGAACATGTCCGTGAGGCAAAAGCTGGGCCTGGAGAAGTCATTGTTACGTAGGAGCTGGGCCTGTCCAGGCCATTGGGAGGCAGAGGGTGGGCCTGGAAAGCTTGACTTGAGGCACTTTTGGGCCTTCAAAGGCCACCAGGAACTGGGCAGGAGCTGAGCCAAAAGAGGTTGTTCTGAGGCAGGAGTTGGGCCTCCAGGCACAGCCAGAAGTAAAAGCGCAGCCTGTAGAGGTCACCTGGGGACAGCAGCTGGGCCTGCAGAGGCCAACGAAAGGCAGGAGCGGGGCCTTCAGAGGCCGACTTGTGGACATTTTGGGCCTGGATTTTGTGGCCTGGACTTGAGGACATTTGGGCCTCCTGCAAAGAGGCAGGAGCTGGGACTAAAGAGGCCATTGTAAGGCAAGAGCTGGGCCTGTACAGGCTGCCGGGAGTCAGAAGATGGGCCTCAAGAGGCCACTGTAAAACAGGAGCTGGGTCTCGGAAGGTGGCCGTGAGGCAAAAGCTGGCCCTTGGGAGGGCAATGAGAGGCAGGAGCTGGGTCTGGTGAGGTCGACTTGAGAAAGTTCTGGGCCTGGAGAGAAGACTGGGAGGCAGGAGCTGGCTCTAAAGAGGCCGTGGTAACAATGGAGCTGGGCCTGTGGAGGCTGTTGTGAGGCAGTAGCCTTATCCACGGAGACCGTTGTGAGGTAGGGTACGGGCCTAAATAGACCACTGTGAGTCATGAGCTTGGTCTGTAGAGGCCGACTGGAGAAAGTTTGGGGCCTGGAGAGGCTGCAGAGGCTGCCGGGAGGCAAGACCTGGGCCAAAAGATTCAAGTATGTTACATTTATTAGGTACTTTATTTACATTATTAAATTCTGATATATAGTAAAGTAATTATAGAACTCACCATAATGTAGAATCAGTGGGCATGTTAAGCTTGTTTTCCTGTGACTAGATGGTCCCATCTGAGCGTGACGGGAGAAAGTGACAGATCATTAAGCATTAGATTCTCATAGGGACAGCAAAACCTAGATGCCTCACATGCACGGTTCACAACAGGGTGTGTGCTCCTATGAGAATCTAATGCTGCTGCTGACCTGAGAGAAGGTGGAGCTCAGGCGGGAATGTGAGCAAAGGGGAGTGGCTGTAAATACAGATGAAGCTTCCCTCACTCGATACCACTCACCTCCTGTGTGTGGCTCCTTACAGCTCCATGGCTCAGGGGTTGGGGACCCCCGCTCAAGTGCATCCAAAAGGACCCTTCCCACACCAGTCTTCATAGCGGTCAACTGCAGCAACCACTGAGCTCCCAAGGCATGTGCCTCAGTTGGCATTTCATCACAATCAACAGTAAGTGGTAGCTTGAGTCACTCTGAGGTCACTTACCGGAAATCACCAGCATCCCATTTCCCATTGGCAAGGAGCTCAGCACTGTCCCTTGGAAAATCAAACCTATGCCCAAATCCCATCTGTGTGAGTTTATCTCCTGGGACCCTTCCGAGCATATTAGTCAGAGTCCAATCAGGAGACATAAACCACTTAAAAGTTTAAAGTGGTAAAATTTAATCCAGAGAATTATTCATTGTAACAGGGGAACAGCAGAATGAGAGATTGGCTAGCACAAAGAAAAGAGAACTCTAGAGAAATCAGGACTAGCCCAGGCCAGGCATGGTGGCTCATACCCAAAATTCCAGCAATTTGAGAAGCTAACACAGGAGGACTGCTTAAGGCCAGGAGCTAGACACCGGTCTGGACAACACAGTGAGACCCTGTCTCTATTCAAAAAAAGAAAAAAATTAGCTGGGAGTGGTGGTACACACTTGTAGTCTCAGCTACTCAGGAAGCTGAAGTTTGATCCTGGGAGATCAAGGCTGCAGTGAGTCATGATTATGCCACTACAGTCAAGCCTGGGTGACAGAGCAAGACCTTGTCTCAAAGAACAAAACAACAACAACCATTTACAGACAGAAAAGAAATAGAGCTAATAAGCTAAGGAAAGATGTAGAAATGTGACAAGTAAAG